AAAAGAAAAAAGCCGGAAGTGGTGTTGTGGCTCAAGTGGTAGAGCGCTAGCCTTGAGCTGAAGAGCTGAGGGACAGCGCCCAGGCCCAGAGTTCAGACCCCACGACCGGACCCCCCCCCAAAAAAAAAGTCAATGTGATGCATTATATGACAGTATTTTATTCTAGATTGTATACATTGTATGCATTGGGTAGAATTATGAGGAAGACTCTTGTTTTCATCCTTGGCTTGCACAACACAGGTAGTGATTAAATAAGCACCCACTGACTGATGACAAGCCTCTACTTGCTCCTGTTCCCCTTGGATTAGAATGCGCGCTCCCTCTCTCTTGCTCCTTCTGTCTCTCTCTGGATATACCCATATATACACATACCTTCTATGTATAGATATATAATATAGACTAATGTATCATATAATATGTAATATACATATTATATATTATAGATAGATAATCTTCTTAGGGTTTCCTTACATTAATGGCCTGGTTAACACTACTCAGGTACTATAGATAATGATTAAAATGACCAGCATGGTAGGCTATGTTACTCTGGAACTTCATAAAGACATCGCTAGTCTCTAGTGTAGCTGGGCACAGGCCATGCTGGTCCACCATGGCCCCCCTTGCATTTCAGTGAAGGCTGCTTCACCAAATCTTCTGATAGAGCAGTGGGTTTATAAGTACAGTTTTGAGCTGAGAACTCTTGGGTAAAGTTCAAGTGTTATAACAGTAGCTATAAGAGGATCTGAGTGGATTCACATATAGTATTTTATTTTGGGACTCTGAGAATTCCCTAAGACATAATACCAAGTTTACAAGGGTTCTTCTGTTTCTGAAAATAAGTTGTACAGTACCTAAATCCTCTTTCCATTTACATACATAAGTGAAACAATTCTCCTGATAAAAGGAAAGAGAGACAAACGTGTGGAGACAATATGCTAAGGTTCAACCAACAGAGGAATCTTGTTTTTCCTTCTTTTATGATAATTTCAAAATAGCTCCTTGTAGTGATATTGTGCAACAGATATTCTAGGAATATAAAGCTGCCCCTAAGGGCATGATATGCCTGGGTTTTCCAAAGCATATTTCATCCTTGATACTACATAAAATCATTTTAGATAATATACAATAAAACACGTATTTAACTTTATACTTTTATATAAACTAGTAAGATATTCATATATCTTAATAATTAAAATGTCTTGAGTATGATTACATAGGACAAGGAGAGAGTGAAAAGCATGCATTAGAAGTATGCGAAGATGGTCAAACAGAACAGTGTCATACAAATGACTGAGGATGGGAATGGCTGCACAGATCCTTAAGATCTGTGAGTCAATACTCCTAGTCTTTGGTGAGAAGAAAGACCAAGGAAACCCTTGATTCTTATTAGAGAAGCTCAGTAGGTTGTTATTGTTATGTGGGGGGGGGGCTGGTAGTGGTGGTGGTGGTGGTCAAGGGGCTTGAACATGGGACCTGGGTGCTATCTCTGAGCTTTTTTGCTACAGATTAGCACTCTGCCATTAGAGCTTTGGCTCCACTTATGGTTTTCTGGTGGTTAACTGGACACGAGTCTCACAGACTCTCCTATCAGGTCTGGCTTCAAACCATGATCTCAGATCTCAGCCTCTTGAATAGCTAGGATTACAGGTGTGAGCTGCGAACACCCAATAGCTTTTTAGTCTTTGAACTGCTGAATGAACTCATTTTTTCACTACATAAAATCTTGTAGAAGTCAAAGCAAAACACTAACCCACTGGAAAAACTTTTATAAAAATGTAACTTATTAGGAAGATTGAACCAATTATTTTAAAGAAACTTACATTTCTGGTCAATTAGTTCATCTCTCTGCACAATGGGGATAAAAAGCTGGAACAATAACAATAATACCAAAACAAATAAAATGAGGGACAGATATGAGTAATATCACAGGAGTGTGGGATTGTGGTTAATGGGAGAACACATGCTCTAGATAAAGGCATTCTTATTTAAGAAAATACAACAGTGGGGCTGGGAAGGTGGCTCAGTGGTAGAGTGCTTGCCTTGCATGCCTGAGGCCCTGGGTTCGATTCCTCAGCACCACATAAGCAAAAAGAGAAAAGCCGGAAGTGGCGCTGTGGCTCAAGTGGTAGAGCGCTAGCCTTGAGCTGAAGAGCTGAGGGATAGCACCCAGGCCCAAAGTTCAGGCCCCATGACCGGACCAAAAAAGAAACAAGAAAAAGAAAATACAACAGTGGTGGAGGTGGTTTTTTAAAATAAGAAATTTTATTTTTAAAAAAAGCAGCTTTTGGGCTGGGAAGATGGCTCAGTGGTAGAGCGCTTGCCTTGCATGCCTGAGGCCCTGGGTTCGATTCCTCAGCACCACATAAGCAAAAAGAAAAAAGCCGGAAGTGGCGCTGTGGCCCAAGTGGTAGAGCGCTAGCCTTGAGCTGAAGAGCTGAGGGACAGCGCCCAGGCCCAGAGTTCAGGCCCCACGACTGGACCCCCCCCCCCACAGCAAAAAAAAAAAAAAAATTATGTGCCTAACAAAACTAAAAAAATGAGGAAACCATGAAATATTATAAAAATGTAGGGGATTCTTATTTCAGAGATTAAGGTTGATACTGCCTTCCCCCTCTTCACTAGAGTGAGACAACCCAAGCTTTTGATTGTTTTCCCTGAAAAATTATACATTTTAAGTTGTCTGGAAAAGGACTGGAATCTTTTTGAAGGAGGGAGTGACTAGAAACATTGTAGCTCACGTGACCTAGTAAAGATTCTGATTTTATTTTTGCTAATATACAGGTATCTGAAAATGATCATAAGATATTTTAAAAAATCCCTAGAATGATTACAAATGCAGACGGCTTTCTGAAACAGTGAAGGGAATTTTTTCTGTATAAAAAAACAACAGAGGAAGTGGCGCTGTAGCTCAAGTGGTAGAGCGCTCACCTTGAGCTGAAGAGCTGAGGGACAGCGCCCAGGCCCAGAGTTCAACTCCCACGACCGACCAAAAAAAAAAAAAAAACCAACAGAGCTGGAAGCCGGTGACTCATGCCTGTAATCCTAGCTACTCAGGATGCTGAGATCTGAGGATCTTAGTTCAAAGCCAGCCCAGGCAGGAAACTGTGAGACTCTTATCTTCAATAAACCACCAGAAAACTAGAAGTGGCACTGTGGTTCAAGTGGTAGAGCGCTCAACTTGAGCTGAAGAACTTAGGGACAACGCCCAGGCCCAGCGTTCAAGCCCCATGACCAACCAAAAAAAAAAAAAAAACTAACAGAGACATTGATCACTAGCATGCTTAATTCACACTGTCACTTTAATAGAGTTTCTAATCAAGAAGAGAATGGAGAACAATAATAAGAATGACATACTTACAGAGATTAAAATGAATGTGCCCCAAACACAAGCAAAAAGGTAGAATGCACTAAGCTGACCAGATTCGTTGAATTTGCTGTGCTTCGTTTTGGAGAAGTGCATTCGTCTATTAATTTTCTAAAAATAAAAACAGCTATTAGTAATTAAGAGTAAATTATAAAATGTATTTAATATATGACTATAATAGCATGGACAGCTAGTGCTTTACAAAATATAGATTTCTAAGAATGAATACTTACATCCAACACATACTCTTGAATTATGGCATGAATAATTATCGCCACTAGCATGTAGAAGAAAACTGTAGCCAAATCTTTGATACCATAGTAATAAAGGGACGCTGATTCAGTAGCTTGCTCCTCTGAAGGCCAAAAAGGACACACATACACAAAAATATACATAAGATTATAAAAACAGCACTGAATACAACACAGTTATAGAAACAAACGAAAGAAGACTAACCCAGTTTTTTTAAAAAAAAAAAGGTCTCTAAAAACATCCTAATTTGTTCCTAGACTTCTCAAGTCTTAGGGGGCAATAAAAACTGAGGAGAATGCTATCTAAAGACCCAAAGCATCAGAAATTACTTACAAAGAGTTGACAAATGTTAGTAACACCATCACAGACCAAAAAACGGGGGACGGGGACCCCACTCATTAACCTGGGATTATCTCAGGGGTATAGATCAAATTGAGAAGAGTTACACTTGGTCTCTTTGCCTCTTTTCAGGAACTTTTGAAAAGTCCTACTTTCAAATGAAATACTACATTATCATTTTGGTGGAAACACTGACTTGATCTTTAGCTGACTTAGTTTCGATTTAGCAGCCAAAGCAGAGGCCAAGACTACTCAAAATTTTTAATGCTTACAATTGCTTTACTTTTTCAAAACAAATAATCAAATCTTGTGATTTGCTGACACTTGTTCTCAAGTTTTATGTGTACGAGTCTATTTAGGTAAAATGAATTTCTCTGGAATAATTAAATGTTAAAAGAACATGGTAGTTTTATATAATCTGATATCTGAGTAATCAAATATTTATACAATTACATATAACTGAACCAAAACCCCACTCAATGTCATGTACCTGGATTTCACATTCAAATTAAGAACCTTAGTTCAGATTAACTGCTTGAATATATTCACACTTAATTAACCAGATGTATCAATCTCTCACTCACACTAGTTATACTATATTCAACTACAGCCAGCTTCCTATAACAACTTGATTCTCACACTGCAAAGAAATAAAAAATTTTGAAATAGAAACATAAAGTATAGTTTGGAGGCAAGTACCTGGTAATTCCTAAAGTTTAATGACATTGTAATCAAAATAATTGCTAAGAGGTAGAACACAATTTAAAAACAGCAAACAAAATAATTATGTGTAATAATGAAGGCCATTTTAGATACAAAATATAACATATATATCAGAAAAACTGAAACAGTACATTGTGCCCATAGAAGCCTTAAGTAAAGGACACGGAAAAAAATTAATATATTGATTTAAAATTTTTTTCTTATTAATAGATTGGAAAAAGCAACTCATAAAGTTCTTCAATGGAATTTCATAGCTACTCACACACAAAAAAGAAGATAAACATTAAACATATAATATGGATTCTCATACAATATGGAGGACAAAATCAACCCAAATCAATAATCAGATCTTATATAACAAAACCATCAAAACAATGTCTGTCTCATTATGGGCTATGAGGATGAATGCAGAATCAAATATCTGTGAATACGTCCCAGTTTATTTAACTGAACTACTACAATAGGAAATTCTTAATGAACACTACCTACCTGTTGCAGGGAGAGTAACATTATACTGAAGAGTAACAAAAATGATAGATGCTTTTGCTGTTATCTAGAAAGAAAGAAGAAGAGTTTATAACCCTCAAATAAACCAGGTATAAAAACATTATAGATTTGGCTTCCAAATCTAAGAACTGAGGTATCCTAGACACACCCCCATCAGCTCAATGGGAGTGCCTCATGTTATGATAATTCTGTAATTTAAATTCTGCAATTTAAATGAGACTATGTAATTTGTCCCCAACTTTAAGTGACACTCTCTTGCAGTTACAGTAAACGACTTCACAAATGGTTCTCTACCACAGAACTACATAATGAACACCAAGCTCCCATCAACAAAGTTTTTGAATGTAATTTAATAAAAGCACAGATAGCATTTGAAATAACCATATCAAATATAGTGTCTAAGTATTAATCTCCCCAACAACTAATGTTTAAGTGACTTGACTATTAGTAAAAGTAAAGGGGCTGGGAAGGTGGCTCAGTGGTAGAGCGCTTGCCTTGCATGCTCGAGGCCCTCGGATCAATTCCTCAGAACCACATAAGCAAAAAAAGTAAAAAGCCAGAAGTGGCGCTGTGGCTCAAGTGGTAGAGTGCTAGCCTTGAGCTGAAGAGCTGAGGGACAGTGCCCAGGCCCAGAATTCAGGCCCCATGACCGGACCCAAAAACAAACAAACAGAAAGTGGAATGATAACTCAGCTTGGATAAATACACACACACACA